GGGTCGAAGGTGAGGCCGCCCAGGTCGAAGGAGTCCGCGGCCGCCCGGGTTCCCGCGAGGCGCAAACGTTCTTGCCCTTGCGGCCCGGGCGGATGCGCTTGGGGGGTGGCTCCACCCAAGAGTCGTCGGCATCAGGGCTAGTCTGGGTAGGCTGCGGCCTGCCCTTGGTTCGCCCATCTGGGCGGGGCGGCGCGGCGGTCACGGCCTCGACATAGGAGGAGACGTCCGCCATGATGTCGGCGGTGGCGTCTTTGAAAGTCCTCCTTTGGCGGAGATCCATGGCGAGGCGCATCGCCATGGAGTCCCAATAGGACACCAGGGCGAGCAGGTTAGCATTTCTGCCTCTCGCCCGGCAATCCCACCAGGCGATATAAGACTCAATGCCGTAAGGATCCGAAGGTGTGTTTTGCACACTAGCGTATACAAATTGCATTGGCGTAATTCCAGCGTCGGCGTATGCCATACGCTGGTTATACGCTGCGTATACGCTGGTTATACGCAGCGTATACGCTGCATACGCAGCGTATACGCATGGTATGCATGCCAATGTAATTATGCTGATGGCGTTTCATGGCAACTTGCGCTGATGGCGTTTGTCCATGCAGACAGGCATAGCATGCAGACTCGATTGTATTTTCCAAACAGTGGCTGTCCGCTGATGCAAAAAACGCTTGCGCTGATGGCGTTTACTTGCGCTGATGGCGTTTACTTGCGCTGATGGCGTTTACTTGCGCTGATGGCGTTTACTTGCCGCGACCATGCAACAACAGCAAATGCCATAATACATTATAATGCATGCAAAGTGTTTTCAAAACAGTGGCTGCGTCCGCTGATGCAAAAAACGCTTGCGCTGATGGCGTTTACTTCCGCTGATGGCGTTTACTTTGCTTGCGATATATATAGGAGCCAGCACTTGAAAATGTTGTTGGCGCAAAGTTGCACCAACAACATTTGAGCCAAAGACATTAAGGGTCATATGGGGTATGTGTATAGTGACTGCGTCCGCTGATGCAAAAAACGCTTGCGCTGATGGCGTTTACTTGCGCTGATGGCGTTTACTTGCGCTGATGGCGTTTACTTGCGCTGATGGCGTTTACTTGCCGCGACCATGCAACAACAGCAAATGCCATAATACATTATAATGCATGCAAAGTGTTTTCAAAACAGTGGCTGCGTCCGCTGATGCAAAAAACGCTTGCGCTGATGGCGTTTACTTCCGCTGATGGCGTTTACTTTGCTTGCGATATATATAGGAGCCAGCACTTGAAAATGTTGTTGGCGCAAAGTTGCACCGTTGCACCAACAACATTTGAGCCAAAAGCATTAAGGGTCATATGGGGTATATATATATATGTATACATATCATCTGCACATCTATGTGTATCAGTAACTTACTTAAATTCTTTCGACTGGTTTGCAACATACGGCGGCTGGTTTCTAGGTTGCTATATAGCTGTCTGGGTCTTCATGTGATGTGTGACATGTTTTTTGCATGCGGGACGAGCATGTCTAGCACACACACACACACACAGACACGCAAACACACACACACACACACACACACACACACACATCTGCATAAGACTCGTTGCGAGACATGATGGTTCCCTGATTTCGTTGCGTACTTATTCTACTGTTTACCGCAGATTGTCGGCGATCGTTAATTTAAGAAGTCGGGTTGTGTGGGGCGAGAGGATCCTGAATATGACCTGCATGGTTGAATGCTCATGACTAAAAAAACCACGTCGGCCAGAAAACCGCAAAGGCCTCTGAACTTCGAAGAAAGATGAATATCAGATGAACTTTCGAAACATAACATGCACCCACATTCGAAAGCCCAGGAATACGATCCCCATCAGTTGGCCAGGAGCCTTTTTTATTGCGACCATCGCACCGTTCAGCCTCGCAAGCATCGTCGCTTCGCATTCTCAGCACTGCTACTGAAAGGTTTTCGTTCCTCCAAGAGCAAGATATCTTCCAAAGATTTTGCCCTGACATCCCCACCAACTGATGCTCGTTTTGCTCGATCCCAGAGCAACGCCAAGTACAGGATGTAGCGCTGCTGGACTCGCAGCAACATCGAAGTCGAATGGCATTTGCAGGCGATTCGTTTGATTTTCCCCATGTAGGATTCAGAATCGAAGTTTTGGTGTATCCGAATATTTATTCGGGTCCGCAGCACATACCGAGCAAGATGCTGTAGATAGTGGTGTTTGGGCCGGATGTTGCACAAAGGGATGAGGAGGTCCTCGAATTTCACAGCCAGCCTTTGCCACGTTCGTAAATGCAAGTGCACCATTTCATCGAACTTTCGTGCTTCGCTTCCAGTGAACTTCAAGCCGCCGTTGTCCAGCAAACTCTGAGCTTCACTGAGCCCTCGCATTGCCAGAGCCATTCTCACCAAATCCTCATCCTGCGGCACAGAGAACAGCAACAGAGCGAGCGAGCGAGAGAGCGAGAGAGCAAGAGAGGGAGAGAGGGAGAGAGGGAGAGAGAGAGAGAGGGAGAGAGCTGAAGAGAGATTGAGAGAAAGGGAGAGAGGCACTGAGAGATAGATGGATGCATGCAAAAGAAAAAGTTAAATTTAGAACAGCATGGGGAATGCGGAATTTTTTGGAACATGGAACTCCTGAACGCGCTTGACCACCTCCTGGAGTTTTCTCGATATTCCCCAGATCAGGATCTTGACTTGCGCAGCCTTGAAAATTGTCCCGAGCTCCGGGTATTCGGTCCAAGGATCCAGGCCAGCATTTGCAGGGGTCAAAGATATCACAGAGAAGGATTTCCTTCAGGGTGAAAATCATGATACATGCACCAACGAACACAGCTAAAAGCCAACTACTAGAAGAAAACCAAAAAGCGTTCTTCAAAAAGCCCAGGTACCCAGTCCGGCTCTTGTATTCTTTCTTGATCCAAAGTGTCAACATCTTCAGATCTGCTCGCTTTGTATCCCAGCCAATCAGTCCCCGCATGACCATCAGTTTGATGGCGGCAGCAACAGCATCTCTTCCCACTCCAAGCAGGACTACATGCATCCAATCGAAAAACGTATTCTCAAGTCTCCAGCCTGGCATCGCCGTCCAAGGCGACAGGTCACTCGCTGAAGTTGTGTTCAAATACGTTTCGTGACTGATAGTCGTGAGAAGAAAAGGAGCATTCGCAGAAAAGTTCTTGTAGTTCATCCCACGGACCATATTCTTTGATGGTTTGATGGCAACGCATTGGTCGCAAAGCAGATTGCAGTTGTAGTGCCGTGTAAAGAAATGACACTCCCGTCTCGCTTTCTGGTCCCCGCGAAATCCATAGAAGCACGCCCTGCAGAATTACATGCACTTCACAACGGACAGCACAGACCTGCAACTCAGACCGGCTACCCAAAATCTTACATAGCTGCAGCTCAAGAATCTTCCATCCGCCGGCCAGGGGCAGCCCGCGGCTCTTTCCCCGACTCGATTTTTCAAGAAGCTCTTCCCCATAATACCCACGATCTGGAAAGCGACCCTCTTGAAGGATTTTGAAAGACCAGCTCATGAGCTTCGCGATTTCAGTGTGCACGTGGTCCTTCACCTGGGAAATGGCTTAAGTCACTTATAAGAAGAATGTATTCTACTTTCTACTTCTATGACACATTATACGAAGTTCAAATGGAATCCCCCACAGGCCTCCTTGGTTTCCATCGCAATATGAGGAAGGATACAACACAAGAATTGAGTTTGGATGCAATCCACATCCAGCATAGAAGAAAATACACTGGAAAAAGACCATATGTTGTACTCAGCATTCCTGTACATTTCTGCACCATCAAAGTGAACAAGGAGCGGCACAAGCTCGGAGAGATCACAGCTCTCCAAAGCCGGATGACCCTTGATATCCATCGGCGCAAACCGTTGCAAATGTTCCCAAAATTCTTTGATCGCATTCGGTGTCTGGTGCCCCAGCATGCTCGTACCAAACTGACAGGGAACAAAGAGTCATATTATGTAACAAGATGCACCAACAAACCTTAGAACCACTCGCACGGAAAGAGACATGCGTGAAAACAAACGAGAAAAGATTGTCGCAAAAGGTTAGTCTTGTGCTCCCTCGGTGTTTTGTGTCCGGTCGGAACCTGATACGCACTTGAAGAATGAAGCTCAGCGAAGATCTCGTGTGGTAGGAGAACAGGAATCCTTTTGGTTGCCGTCAAAGGTTTCCCGGCGTCCTCATCAACATCCTCCGTTTCAAGTAGCAAGTCTATATAGTATGGTTCCAAGCACATTCCAAAGATACCTTTCAGCCATCTATGTAGGTCACGCTCAGCATTCGAAGGATGCTGCCCAAATGATCCCAGGCTCGCAAAAGCAGAGACAGCTCCCTTTGGAATCCCATCCCGAATCATAGCCTGCGCCAAATTTTGAGCATGTGCCACATGGGCCTTGCCACTCCCAATCATATCCAGAAGCTCTTCTGCTGCATGAGAATGTGGCATAGATTCATAGTTCATTCTCCGACGAAAGGATGTAGGCCTGCATCATGGCAGTACAGCAACATGAACTGACCAAAGCACATGACGATTCAAACGGCAAAGCCTGGGCTTGGATCGATCATCATCAGCACGGCCTGCCAAGAAGCAGAATCTAACTTCGGAATTCAACACACAAACACAAGAGACCGTGTTTGCAAGCAACCAGCATGACATGAATCATACTCTTTCAGCAGAACGAACTGCGGATCTCGTCGGCTTTTGCCATCGTGGCAGCTGCACATGTTCCCAAGGCATTCGGTGACATGCATAGCACACTTGTCTCAGGAGCATCTTACATGCACCCTAACTTTGCAAATTCATGCAGCTTACATATTTCTGCATTCAACAGGAAGACTCCCAAATGAACACTATCAAACTGTCAAGTGCGCATGCACGTCCCAGCGAGGGCTCGCCTACTGGCAAGTCTACCCCACGTCAGAATGCAATCGTCCCAAGATAAACGTCATGTGCGGTGCATCCCAAACCTACATCATCATCAAGCAGCCGCTTTTGCGGCAGGCTTCGCAGCAGCACCTTTGGCGCTTGCTTTGGCTCCTGCCTTCTTCTTCTTTGCTTTCAATCCAGACTGCAGGCCGTTTGCTGCTGCCTTAGCAAGCATGTGTTCCGCACACAGATCCAACAAAACTCGCACACCGCAGCAACGCAAGATCAGTGAGCGGGCTTGCTGGAACCATGGCTTCTTCTTGGCCACATACTTCAGAAACTTGTTCAACTCGGCATCCTCGGTGCTCTCCTTTGCCTCCAGCTCAGCTAGCCTCTTGTAGGTCAGCTCCATCTGCCTGGAGTAATTCAGCAGCTGTTCGGCCAACTTTTCACCGTAGTTGAGGTTGTTCAGGGTGAGGGAGGTTTCCCGAGCTTTCGAAGCATCCTTCAGGATCTCCGGCTTCGCTTCTGCCACCAGCCTTAGCATAAATACCCACGCACAAGCAGCAGCGCAGACACCATTGAAGTAACTCAACAAAAGCATTCAAGCAACTGGCGCACGGTCTTCGGTTCCATCTCCTTGGCATCCTCCGTTGACTCCTTGTCCTTCCTGGGTTTCGGTGTTCGCTTTGCCACAGCAGCACCCTCATCGAAGAAGGCCAGAAGCGCCTTCTCGCCAGCCTCAGTGGCTGCGTGTACCGCAGGCAAGGTGCCTGCCTGAAGCAGGTTGTTCTCCTCCAGTACCTTCGCCAAGTCCTCATCCATACCTTGTTCGACAGACAACTTTTGTTCTTCGCTCGTGGCATTGTCAAGCCGCAGCAGGTGGCCCTTCGGCATGTAATACCATGCTTCCTCAGCAAATGCATATATGATAACATGCACAGCAAGAACAACAGCACAACACGGCTCAGAACTCCCATGGATGAAACCTAGTCACATCTTCGTTCTCGGGGAAGTCCTTGTCTTTGTACCAGCGGCCTTCGGCTTTTCTTGCTGCAATCACTTGCTTGTACATTGCCTGGCAAATGTGTTCAGCCTGAACTGTGCAACCGGAAACGGAAAAGTCTTCTGCCTCGTCTGTGTACTTTGTCTTCAAGTCCTTTCCCTGAATAGCAAGAACATCCTGGCGATTTAGGCTCTTCTTTTCATGCTTGCGTTCCATAACCAACTTCACCCTGACAGCATTGCAGCACCCTTCGAAACATGTCTTGCTCCATACAACCGCAAACTCACGCAAGCAAACTGCAAACCCAAAGACAACTCATGCAGCCAAATAGCTCGTCCCAATTGCCATTGCAATCGAGCCATGCAGCAAACAAATCCGTCTTGGACTTGCTCGCATAGTTGCTCAGAGCGACGGGGAACTTCTGGCGGTTCTTAATGGCACGATCAAAAACCGCCCATTCCTTCCTGTGTGTGGCACCTTAAATGCACTCGCAATATCGCACGGCAACTGAAACAGCAAGCTTGCATGTATATATGCAATCTAGGGAGCTGTTCCGAACGGGCTCAGTCGCCACGGCCGTACTCAACGCCTTTGTGTCCTCAGCGTCACTCAAGGAGTCGCCGTCCACGTTCTCCTCCGACTGGTCGCTTGACGAGTCGGACTGCATGTCCTCTTCGTCCAAGACACAATCTTGCGACTGAGGCAGCTCCTCGTCACTGTCCAAAGCGCCGGCACCTGGGGTCCTTGGAGCACTGGTCTCCTCCTGCTCTGGCTCGTCCTCCTCTTCATCGTCCTTGGCTTCTTCCGAAGCTTCGGGTGCCTCGCCATCTGAAACCTCCGAGTCCTCTTGGGCTTCCGCTAGCTCCCGAGCTGCAAGCTCCGCCTCCAGGAATGCCACCTCATCGAAGGCTTCCGCCGTTTCATTGTCCTATACTCATGCACCACGCACAAACTGCATATCTACATAAACTATAAGACACCATTGCAATGTGCACGGTCCACGGTCCTGCTCCTCAGACACGTCCTGCTTGCTTGTGCCTTCCTTCTTCCGCTTCTTGGCCGTCTGGTCTTCCTTCTTCTCTTTGCTTGCCTTCTTCTCCTTGCTTTCCTTCTGCTCCTTGCTTGCCTCCTGCACTCCCCTTTTGCTGTCCTTCTTGTTCTTGTGGTCCCTCTGCTCTGCGCTTTCCTTCTGCTCTTTGCTTCCCTTCTTCTCCTTGTTTCCTCCCTGCTCCTGGCTGACCTTCTGCTCTTTGCTGTCCTTCTTCTCTTTGCTTTCCTCCTTCTCCTTGCTTTCCTTCTGCTCTTTGCTTTCCTTCTTCTCTTTGCTTTCCTTCTTCTCTTTGCTTTCCTCCTTCTCCTTGCAGTCCTTCTGCTCTTTGCTTTCCTTCTTCTCTTTGCTTCCCTTCTTCTCCTTGCTTTCCTTCTGCTCTTTGCTTTCCTTCTGCTCTTTGCTTTCCTTCTTCTCTTTGACTTGCTCTTTGCTTTCCTTCTGCTCTTTGCTTTCCTTCTTCTCTTTGCTTTCCTTCTTCTCTTTGACTTCCTTCTTCTCCTTGCTTTCCTTCTTTTCCTTTGCGACTTCGGTTTCTTGCTGTTCTTTTCGGCCCTTCTTAATCGCAACAGGAGGGGCTGCGAGGCTACTCTTAGTAGCACACTTCTGCAAGGAGACCATGAGTCTTTCGTGCCGGGACACTTCAAGCTTCGACGGCCTTGCCTTCTTCTTCGGCCGGCTTTCGCTGTCGTCTCGTGACTGCTGGCGTTTCGTTGAAACCCTATGAGTCACAGGATCGCCGGCTGCCATGGCAGCTCAAAGATTAACTTCACAAAACAGGAGCCACCAAAAGCTTGAAAGCAAGCGCCCCATGCAGCACAAGGTGAATGCATCGAAGCTTCATGTGCTCTCACTTCATGGAACCTTGCTTTGCATCTCAAGGTGTCTGAGAGAGACGAGGACACAGACAGATAGACAGACAGACAGACAGACTCTCCATATAGCCTGGGCGGGCTGGGGCTGGCTTGGGTGGGCTGTATACGTTATAAGACAGAATGACATATATGGACAGACGGACTTGCCCATGGATGGGCTGGGCGCATGGGCTGGGGGGTTGGCTTGGCTTATATGTACAAAGACAGAGAGAGACTGCATGCAGAGAGACAGACAAGACAACATGCATGCATGTTATATACATATACATACACTATATATACATTATGTGTGCAGGTATAGGAAAATGTGTGTGTGTATATATATATATATGCATGCATGCACATGCATGTACATATGTGTGCATATTACTGCATGCACCTGTGGCACCAAATGCAGAATATATATAGGAATCCTATAAACTATAGATGTGTATGTTGCATACGATATAATATATCCATGATGTATCATATCACAGCAGCAGCTGCTGCAAATCACGGCGGCGGCGGCTTCTACAATCACGGCGGCGGCTTTTACAAATCACGGCAGCGGCTTTTACAACTCACGGCGGCGGCTTTTACAAATCACGACAGCGGCTTTTACAAATCACGGCAGCGACTTTTACAAATCACGACAGCGGCTTTTACAAATCACGGCGGCGACTTTTACAAATCACGACAGCGGCTTTTACAAATCACGGCGGCGGCTTTTGCAAATCACGGCAGCGGCTTTTGCAAATCACGGCAGCGGCTTTTTCAAATCACGGCAGCGGCAAATCACGGCAGCGGCTTTTACAAATCACGGCAGCGGCTTTTTTCAAATCACGCGGCAGCGGCTTCCACAAATCACGGCAGCGGCTTCTACAAATCACGAATCACGGAAGCGGCTGCTACAATATCACAGCATGCGGTGCATATCTTTTGCAAATCACGGCAGCGGCTGCTACAAATCACGGCTGTCATCTTCCATCAAGTGCCGAAGTTGCGCTCTTTCGTCTCGAGTTCTGGCTGTTCTGGGGGGGCATTGGTTGAGATTTGGGGTCGAAATACAAATCACGACGTTCCACGCCAAATCGCGCCAGCGTCCACGCCAAATCACATCAGCGGCTGGGGTGGTTTTGCGTCGTTTTCGTTTCGTTCGGTTTTTTTTTTTTTTTTTTCGGTGGTTTTGGTCCGCTGCGAACTCTCCACTCTCCGCTCTCTTTCCCTTCGCGCTCTCCGGTTCGGTCTTCCTTCCCATCTCCTTTCTCCCTTTGCGTTCTGCCCTCACCTCTTCTCTCCCCTCTGCTCCCCCAGGCACCGGTTCACAAACCGAGCAGAAAAGCAGCACTGACTCTCTTGTTTGACACACACACACATGCATGGCACCCATGCATGGCCTTCTTCGACTGGAGCACGGCATTTGGCCAATACCAGACCGCCCGGCTTCAATATGAACGGCGGCATGATCCTGCGTTGCAAGCCAGCATCCATGATCGCATATTGATCCATATAGAGCTGGTATTGCAAATCAACATGCATGCTCACCGGCAACCTGTGGAATCCTTTTTCGGCCCCATTCCCCTGCACATGATGCCTGCACTCAATTATATGCATGCTGCACACATAGCAGCTACTGCTGCTGTCGCAAGAATGCAAACACCTTCTTGAAACCGGCTTTCCGCTCCCATCTCTTAGAGATCTTACACTCTGCAGGAAGCCGCAAAGGCTGCTTCAGAGCCTCAGCGAGATCTGCCCAAGCCTGCTGCTTGATCTCAGCATCGTACTCCGTCCGCAAGGATGACAAAGCAATGCCAAACCTTACTGGGAAACAACACTCATCGCGGTTTCGGGGTTAATTGTCAGGGCCGCACGAACCGCGGTTGTAATGCAATTGCAATTATTGAGGGCCCCACTGTCTCGGATAGGCTTGTGAGCCCTTCAGGTTTCGGCCGCCATTCACACGCTTGCATCCGGTCTCGTCGGTGTAATGCACTGACATTTCCCATCCCTTCTTCTGCTCCTCGGTGGGAAGGTCTTCCACCGGTGGCTTGAATCGTGGAAGCTTCTCCAGTATCTTCCGATCTCAGCAAACATCAAGGGATGCATGGCTACTCCGACATGGAACCACTTGCAAGCATGACTCTGTACGTGCGGACAAGGCACTACTATACAACCATGTTGGTTTTTTGGATTTCGCGCCGAAATCTTCCATCTGAATAGATACTCGATAGCATTTCACACAGCCAAAGAGCAGCTGAATGGCAGGATGGGATTCCATCAATGACCGCTCTGGTTGTTCCAATATCCAGAACACCCCCTTAGCCGAACAGATTAGGAGGAGGACAACAACTCGCCACAGCATGCAGTTTGCATCCTTCACAGACTGCACAGACTCGTCTCCCAGTACATCGCCAGCCCGTCGCATTGTTTTGGATTGAGACCTCAAGATTTCTTATCAGCACAGCACACATGTCAGCTGTAAGGGAAGCACATCATATGCATTCCATAGCAACTTGGTGCCCTACAGAAATATCCATGATGAGCACACAGGGGCCGTGAGTTTTCCACTACCAGGCACCAGTCGAAGGCACTCAAACAATGCATTGCAATAGCCCAGGGAGCTGAGGATATTCATCGTGCGCTCGTTGTAGACGATGTCATGTGGGATCGCATATCGGCCAGCCTGGGAGAAACATTTACAAGGAGGGGCTTTTGGGAGGTTGTGGGTGGGGGCAAGCATGACTTAACTATTCTGCAAGCAAGCAGCTCGCTGCTCGGCTCGTGTAACTGCTCTGCTTCCAGCAAACGTTTCGAAGTGGTGCAGGGCAACATCCCAGGGCAGGCTTTGGATTTGTGTCATCATAGCCACCAGTTTAAATACAACCTCTGCAGTCACGACACTGGAGTTGAGGGTTATAGTGGGCACAACATGATGCACTCATTGAAATGCAGGAAAAGCTCCAATGGCACAGCACCCATCTTTGCCAAACCGTGCAGCACCCACGATTGCTGCATAAGCCGCGGATTCTTCCGCACGGCACGATCCCGCCGCAAAGTCTTCACATTCTTGCGACGACGATGCTTCATCGCAAAGGTGAACAGCCAAAGCACGTCAGTGTTTGCATGGTACATGTGTATCTAGTACAAAGTTGTTTGTATGAGTCTGTATGCACACAACCACTTCCATGCATGGTTGCACGGGTTCAGCACATGTATGACATTCCGTATACACATGAGCCTTGTACGGCTCACACATTCATGGGTCAACGCACATGCACACATACGCCCTCGCACAAGGCAGACTTGAATTGCTCTGCTTGCATCATGCACTCAATCACTCATGCTAAGCCCTCCATGATCGGTCCTTCCACAGAATCTTCGAGGTCCACATATATCCACTGCGGCCAGGCCTGCAGGCATGCATCCGGGATCAAACAGAACTTCATGCTAGTCTTGCAACTCATATAGCCATGCGACGCACAACAGACCGTGAGCTTTGAGCACACCAGCTCTTTTTGCGGTTTTGCGGTTTCGCAATCGAAGCCACCCCTCGTTGTGGGCCGAGCCTTCGGCCAATAACACAATCATGCTGGAAGACAGACAGCGCTAGCTCTTGATTTACAACTACAATACTGCTATTCCTGCGATGGCGAAATGTACATAATTTCTTGGCTCGCACCGCTCACGAGGGCCTCCGGGCCTCCACTTGCACGTAGCAAGAAACTGCGAAACTTCTTCATACCCAGCACAGCAGGCACATCAGCAAGACATCTTACGAGCCAGCAGTGACCCTAGCTGATTTTGTTGTCTGTGTAGGTTCGCACCTGCAGCACTGCATTCCGTAGAGGGCCGTCGGGCAAAATTGGCACAGCCCGAGAGCCCAAACTCTGCTCCACCACAGCACATACGCGGCAACAGCTCACAACTTATGGCCAGCTGTGACACCAGCTGATTGCATGTTTTAGCTGCGTACATATTCGTACGTATTATCACAGCCATGCAGCACTGCAGACCGGAGCCTCCCAAAATCTACTCTGCCAAAGCACCGCCAAGCACCCCAGCAACAACTTATCACATACCATAAGGCGAACATCTTAAATGCATGCTTCGTTCTCAAGTCGCAACACGATTGGCCGGTGCATATAGCAGCGAGGCAGCGACAGCCGGAAGGATGGGGTTTCGGTGATCTCGTTTTCATCGCACTGTAGTACGAACAGCATATCTTACAGTAGTGCATGTAGGTAGTAGTAGTAGTAGTAGTAGTAGTAGTAGTAGTAGTAGTAGTAGTAGTAGTAGTAGTAGTAGTAGTAGTAGTAGTAGTAGTAGTAGTAGTAGTAGTAGTAGTAGTAGTAGTAGTAGTAGTAGTAGTAGTAGTAGTAGTAGTAGTAGTAGTAGTAGTAGTAGTAGTAGTAGTAGTAGTAGTAGTAGTAGAAGTATGTGGAGAACGGAAACCCAAAGGGGCAGCACGCACCCTCGTTTTCCGTCCAAGCAGAAAGTCCAACGACCGTGACAGGTCGAACGTCCGCCCAGGACGGGCTGCGCGCAATTGCGTCGCGGCAACGAGAAGCTACCAACGACACACTGCCGTGCTCACTTGAGCCAAAAATGTTATGAATACGAATTACAGAAGAGCATGCATAAAAGCATACAGCACAACAGCCAGCCCGCAGACTATGTACAGTTACATTCGCCCCTCAGCCGAGAGCACGATAGAGCCGTAGGATTCCGCGGGCGGCCGGAGGCCGTAAAACTGACCTACAGACCCTGCCCTCCTACAAACCCTTCGCACTCAGCACAAGACCTTCGTTTTTCACGGCCTGTGCTGCACGAGGCTCTGGTTTCCTACTGTACACAGCCTGCGCCGCACTGCGGCCACAGGGCTGGTGAAACGAGCAG